GAGGGGGTGGGCAGGCGGCACTCACAATCATGTCGATGATGGTGTTGATGGTTTCCTCCACATCGAGCTCCCGGGTTGCCTTCAGGCTGGTGGCGGTGAAGTTGCGGCGGTAGGCATGGTCCGTGGCAATGATGTTGAGCCGCTGGTCCTAGGTTTGGGGGGTGAGGAGGGCAGAGTGAGTCCTGCGGGCACCCATGCAGGACCTGTCCCCAGAGACCACTCTGGGGCAGGGTGGCAGAGGTGGCATCCTCTCTCCAGGGAGGGGCTCTGAGGGGCACTCAGAGCCTCCTTTGCCATGCTGGGGGTCCCGTGGTCCCACTCAGGACCCCTGCAGGGAGCATCCCTGCTGCGTGGTCCCTACCAGGTGGTTGGGGGAGATGGCGACAGAGAACACTTTGATCCCCAAATGTTTGGCTTCATTGGCAGCATCGTCCAGGCCTCCACAGGGCTCCTTGTACCCTTCCAAGGGGTGTCCATCAGTCACCACGATCAGGTATTTATTCTCCTTGTGATGGGAGCCACTGCAAGGGTTTAAACACAGGATTTAACGTTGCAAGGATTTAACAGATTTAGCTGGAGAGGAGTGGCTTGGGCATCTCTGAACACTCACCCTAGGCAGTGATCCAGCCTATGGTCAGGGCATGCCTCATCCCAGCAAAGCCGGAGCACCTAGCAACCTGCCACCCCCGTGCCTATTTCATGCCTCGGTGACCTCCTCTCCCACCCTGGGGACAGCTCTGCACAATGCACAGGGATGTCCTAACCCAGAAGCTCCCAACCTCCATCCACCATGGCCATACCACCAGCATCACGCCCTCCGCCCACCCCGGCCCCACTGCCTTACCTGATGAGCAGCTCCTCAATGCCCCGCTTTATGGCACAGTCGGTGTAGGTGCCCTTCCCAATGTAGTTCACGGCTGAGACACGGTTCTTCAGCTCATTCCGGCCGCTGGGCATTGAGGTAAGGCTCTTGATGAGCACCACCTCGTCGCTGTAGTGCAGCGCCCCGGCATTCCACACCAGGTTGCGGTCGCAGCGGTAGTACCTGCGTGGACACACCAGAACATGTGCTTTCAGCGCCTTTGTCCACGCCCTGCCACTACCTCCACTTCACTTGCACCGGCACGCCATGCAAAATGCAAATCCTCTGCCAAGCATTGCAGCGCTTTGCTAGGGCTCCCTGCTCTCCTACAAGGCTGGGTTGTGCTTCACATGCAAAGCCCAGCCATGGGAGCAGGGCGGTTTGTTCAGCGGGTGGAAGGGCAAAGGGGTGCAGCTGGTGGGTGTCCACAGGGGTCAGACAGTTTGGCAGAGAGGCTTTCCAAAGAGATACCAAGCTGCAGTGGCTGGAGCTGAGCAGGAGATGCTGAGCCAGCCAGCCAGGTGCGTGTGTGCAAGATAGGTAACTGCTGAAAGACCCCACCCAGGACTGCAGTGAGTTTTCCACTGCAGGACGTGTTAAAATCAAAGAGGGATGCCTTCCTCTGAAGGATGCTCTGACTCAGAGAGGGATGAGTGTGTGTTGAAGCCCCGTCCTGTGCGCTGACACAGCCTGCACCTGTGACTCCCTGGGACAGGGGCATCACGACTCCCTGTGCTTTGGTCAGTGCCCCAAAAAAGGTCTTTTCAGGATGCTGGGACCAATCCCAAAGGGATGGGGTTGCACAACTCCCTTGCTTTCCCAAGCTCATCTTCTCTTTGCCCAGCAGGACCTTTCCCAAAGCCACCTGAGCATTGCCTACTGTTCTCCCCTCCACCCCACCACTGCTGGCTGCCTTGCCATCATCCATGACAACTGCACCGCACACGCTGTGGGTGCCTGGCAGCATGGCATGCACAGTGGTGGCTTGCAGGGAGATGTCTTCAAAGCAGGTAGAGAGTGGCAGGGTGAGCACAGGGGTGTTTGGGATGGGCTCAGGAGGTCCATCCATCTGTCTGCATGCAGCAGGGGCTCTGGACAGAGCCCAGCACCTTGCTTAGGAGAGAGTCATGCTGCATTGATGGAGGCCTGGCAGGTTGTTCCCAAGCACGAGGCTCCTGGTCACTCAATGCCTTGTTAAGGTAGCTCTTCTGCCTGGGCAATGGGTAGGTGAGCTGCTAACCCCCTCCCACCTGTCTTGAGATGGGAACCTTGCCCCTCCAGCTCGTGCAGCACTGGAACATCCCCATAGTGCACCAGCACACATCTCCCGCTGCCCCAAGGACCAGGACCCATGTGCCTCCAGGACCCGTGGTGCTCCTGTACATCCCTGAATCTCCTGCCAGCAGGTTAGCCATGGCCTTTGCCTGCAGCTCTTCCCAGAATCGCCACCCTCCAGGATCTGGGAGCTTTGCGGCCCCCGGGTGCCCTCACCCTAGGAAAGCCAGGGTCAGACCGGGGTTGGTGGTGGCAAGGGTGGGTGAGGAGGAGGCAGATAAAGGGCACTCCGCAGGGGCCCCCAAAGCTGGGTTCAATGCTCCAGGGTATCCTGGGGGATGCCAGTTGCAAGGGAGGGTTTGCTCTGCGCGGTGCCCATAAGTGCTGTGTGCACATCAGAGGTGCCCTGCTGCCACCCAAGCACCTGGGTTGTCCTGGGCCTGAGCAGCCGGTGGCATGGGGATCAGCATCGCTTTGGCCCTACAGAATAACCAGCCGGCCAGCTGGAGGCGGTGGGGCTGGGGCACTGCATCTGCCCTTCCAGGAAGCCCTTGCTTTCCCGAGGGCGGGTGCAGGCAGCCCTGCTAAAGGCATGCTGCTGCTCTTGGCATGGACGGAGCAGAAACGGGGCGGCCGTGGACCAGGAGAGGGAGGAGATGCTCCCACCCCCTCCCCATCAACCCCTGCTTTCTTCCTCTCCCTCCTCAGACAGGCGCACAGGGCGGTCTCAGCATCCCACCCAGCACCAGACTCCATCCCTAAAGCAGCCTGGACAAAACCCCAGGAGATGTACCTGTTTGTCAGCTTATCAATAAACCGGTTGGTGAAATATTTCACTTGGGCAACCAGGTCCCCAAAGGGCTTCACCCTCAGGGCAACACTTTCTGAGGTGTCCAGGACGAAGAACAGGTCCACAGGGCAGTCTGGGAAGAAGCGGAGAGGCAGGAGTCAGCAGGCGGCCCTGCTGCCTCCCCAGTCCGGGCTCACCGCATTGCCTGCCCGCACGTCTGCAGCCCAGCTCCCTTACTAGCAGGCTCCCAGGATCTGCGCTAAGGAGACCGCTTTCACATCCTAATCCCACGCAAGACATGCAAGCACACACGCTGGGGTGAAGTTGCTCATTTCTGTTTTGGCATCAAGGGTAAGCTGGATCAAGCACATATTCAGAAAACATCACTTTGTGGCATTTAACAGTTTCCTATACATTTTTTTCCATTTACATTCGAAGGGTATCTTTGCAAGACCAATACTTGTTACTATATAAAATAACATGCAGCTGCAGCAACCACTTAAAAAAAATAAAACCAAGACATGATAGCAATTAATGCAATGAGAAACTAATGATTTTCTGCCACATCCTGGCACAAATATAATTGCTGAGGAGAGCAAAAATGAAAACACTCCTTAACAGCCAGCATCAAAACAAAAATATTTCAGAAAGCTAAACTGGTATCAGCTGTTATCCCCCTCTCCTGCATCCCAGTGCTACTGGTAACACCTGACAAGACAGAGCCAAGGAGAAAGAGCCAAAAAACATTAAAAGTGGGTACATCTTGTAGATCCTCTCTAATCGTACATCACTTTCCTCGGCAAACACAACTCTTCCCCCAAACATCCTGACAAAGCTGTGGCTGTGTGCGGCAGTGGAGGCACCCAGGAGGGAAACAGCAGCCGGACTTCTCTGCTGATCCCAGGGAGGAAAAACACCCTGGGAAGCAGCCTGGGCTTACCTTCTGCATTTGCGACCCGGGTGGTGATTTCTGGGCGCTGAGCCCATGAGACCCCCACCAGGAAGCCAGCCGGGAGCAGCAAAGTAAATAGAAAGTCTTGCAGCCTCATTTTGCTTGGTTCAGATTACCATCGAGCTGGATTGAAGAAAAAAAAAAGCAGGGAAGGAGAACCTGGCAGCCGAGAGAGGCCGCGGTCTGGAGGCAGGAGTCGCTGAAGATATTTTTTACCGCTTTCCCCTTGGTTTCTGTGGGAGGAAGAGCAGGCAGGAGGGTAAGGGTGAGGAGGAGACTTCTCCAGCCCGAGGACAGAGGGAGGGATCAGGGGCTGTCAGCTGTGAGTCAGAAACGAATGAGGCATTTCTCCTTACCCTTTTTCTGGATGTCGCTGTACCTGCGATGGCACCCTGGCTACCGGTGCCTGGGATCTCCACAAGCCTCACACAGGGAGCCCTGGCACAGTCAGTGCCCAGCATCAGCATCCCCCTTGGGGTTCAGCCTGCTCTGTGGGGCAGGGAGGCTCAAGGCACCTGCCAGACTGCTCCCTCCCAGCTCCTGGGCCAGGAAAGCTGAGGCAGGGGGACAGGCATTCCCATTGCATCCCCACCTGCATGAGAGCTGGCCTGTGTGCTAACCAGGGGAGTCCCCACCACAGGACAGAGCTGGAGCTGCCCCATGGCCACCCAGAGATGGGGGCACCTTGGAGGCACCACATTTTTGGAGAAGCACCTTCCTCCCTGCCTTTCAGGGCTTTCTACTCAACCCAGTCAGAAACCTGAGGGGCAAGCTGAGAAAAACCCCACAGGGATCCCCACAGACTCGGAATGAGCCCCGTGGGCCATGCTCTGGGCAGGGAGCGGGGATGGGGTCAAAGCTGTCAAGCTCAGGAGGTAGAAGCAGGAGCCCAAGCCCTTAGGGGTGCCTGGAGATGAGCATCTTCCCATCCTGTAGGATGGCAGAAGAGCCTGAGGACCTGCAGCAGTGGGGAGCTGGATTCCCACAGCAAGGCCCCCCAAGGTGGTGTAAAACATCCGCTCTCCATGGCCAGCACTGGAGACGAGTCCCACACTGCTGAACTGAGACCCAGAAGCGGGTACTGCCAAACCCCTCATCACAGTGGGAGCACTAATTGCTATCAGGGAGAGAGGTGAAATGCCTGCAGGCTGATCCTGCTACAGCCACAGCTGTAACCTGCTCCCACAAGTACAGGAGGGGACCAAAGGCTGTCATTAAATAGCAAATTGATGGGTTGTCCAGGCCAAGGAGGCACCTTGCCTTTGAAAGCTGAAATGAAACCCAGAGAGAGGCTTGATCTGGGACAGGCAGAGCACCCTGTGGAAGTGCATAGGACCAGGACAGCTCCAAGGGGCGAAGAGTTGACAGCATGAACCCAGCCAGTACACATGGTTCGCACACAAGTTGGTTGCACAAAGGCAGCAGGAAACCTGCTGCGCTGCTTCATGGGGCCACACAGGGCTGGCTGCCACCTCCATCACCCTGCCTCTCATGCACAACTCTGACAGCATCTTTGTGTGAATGATCAGGAGAAAATGTCATAGGCTTAGCTGTAGGAAGTTGTCTCAAGTTGAGACAACTGAAAAAGAAAGCTGTAGCTCCACTGATTACAAATTACATCAGTGGAGGAGCCTGTCCACACTATTGAGGCAGATGTATCAAATAATGACTCTTTGGATAAACAACATTCAAAGTCAGTGGGAAAAAAAATGCAGACTGTGCTGAACTGAAACCTCATAAACCCAACAGCACAGCAGGCACTGTTTTTCACACCAACACAAATTTAGGTGCATCTGTGGAAGCTGATGTTAAAACAAAGGAAAGAGGAGAAACTGTTGGTCTCAAGGAGGGGCAGGACTGCTGCTGGACACCCCTGCACCCCGTCCCCGCAGCCTCTCCAGGACTTTGGAGAGCTTCAGGGTGCCATGCGCTTTGGCTGAGGGGCAGCCAGACCAGCAGGGCTCCTCCTTGGAGGGAGGCTGGGCAAGCATCAGGAGGGTGACGCCAAAATATGAAACTAAACTCTGTGTGTGTTGGGGGCAGGAAGAGACACCCCTGCCCCAAAAGAGCCACGTGTTTGTTGTGCTGAAGAAAGCATTTTTCCCCCAGCTTGAAAAGCTTTAGTATCAGCATGAACCTGGCTGGTGTAAATAACCACACAGGCTTTGCAGAGCTGTGCTGGTGGCATCAGGAGATGAGGACACTGAAAGGCAAATTTTCAAGGCATCTCAAACCTATTGAAAATGCTCTCCAAGAAAGCAAGTGTGTCCAGGGACAAATCTTGCTGCGTGACAGTTCACGGGGGATCAGACCTGATTTGGTTCTCCGGCACGCCTCCTCGGGGCTCCCACGAAGGAGCTCACCTGGGATTTTGAAAACCAGCCAGAGGCTCCCAGGAAGGGGGGTGCTGGGAAGGGACCTGTCTTCATGCATCAGCTCAGCAGAGGCATCCTGTGAATCTGCACACCAGAGACATCTGCTCTTTGCTTTATCTCTTCCTCTCTTCCCTTCCCTCCCAGGGAATTACCCTGAGCAGCAAAGAGCCAATCCCCCCTCTCCTTACAGGAAGGGAAAAGCACATCCATCTCGGGAACAGCCCGACCACTCTGCAGAGCCTTGCAAGCTGGAGGCCAGTCAGCCGCGCCAGCAAAGACTTAATGATAATGGTATGGCTTGTGCAAGGCGCCTGCTGACCGTATATGGCTCTGCACAGCTGCAGCCTGTCAGACCCTGTGCACCCTGGCACAGGGAGCCAGCAAGGCAGGGCTCCCCTGACCCCACCGGGGACCCCACTCCCTGCCCAGCACCCAGCCGCCAGCCCCAAGGGCTGTTATCAGGCGCAACGTCCCAGGCGCATCCTCTCTGCTGTGCTTAGATCCATGTCTGGCTTCAAAAGCATTTTAAAGCATTGCCTTTTCCAGGTCTGTGGTGCTAAACCAGGGCCAGCAGCCAGCAGCGTCCCTGGGGCACTGAACATCCATTTCCTTGGAAAAGTGTGGGCTAGTTTTGCAGAAATCCAGCTGATAGCTGGGCAGCAGTTTGCAGGCTGACCCCAGGGGTGTTGCAATCATTGGGCCTAGCAGCATGCCATCATGTCCCAAAATCTAAGGACACATGCCTGTGAAGGATGTCCCCTTTCCCTTCTTCAGACAAGGCCAGGGAAGCTGAGCTCTATGGTTCTGCCACACTGGGTCCTCCAGGAGCGGGGGACCCCCTTCATCTACCTGTGTGGGGCCAGCACCCCTCTATAGTGCCATGCAGATGGGCAAGGGGTGTCCCTCCATGGTGTCTGCATGCCCCAGGGGACAAGTGCTCCCCATCCCAAGTCCCAGCCAACAGCACTGCATTGCACAGCAAGCGATAAACTTTTAGTCCAATTCCAGACCAAACTGGGGTGCAGGAAAAAAAAGTGCACTTGGGACAGAATTTTTGCTTTTTCTCCTCACAGAGATTGAGAAAAGAATGAGTTTGCTCCATTTTTCTGCTATTAACTCTTTCATGCAACCTTCCCTTCCCTTTAATCAAGACCACTTAGAAATGGAAAACGCTCCTTCCATAGGAAATATGGAAATGAGCTGAAATGAATTCCCCTGGGAAAAGCCAGGATTGAACCTGCCAGCACACTCATAACCAAAGGGTGTTTTGGAAAGCAGGGAAGGACCCAGTGCCAGGTTTCCAGCTCCATTTTCTGCAGCTGGGGCCACTTTGTCCTCTCACATGGTCCCAGAAGATGCCACAATTAATAAACACCGAAATTTCCCAGTTGCAACCACATGAAGCACACAAGCGTCCTGCCAGCTGGCTGCATCACCTTACCCCTGCTCCTGGGGACCTGGGTGCCCAAGGCTTGCTAAGTCTTTGGGACGGTGAAGGCATTTGCTAGGAGAGGTTTCCGTGTGCTCTGGTTACCATGGGCTGCACCTCCCCAGGCTGGCTGTAGGACCCCGGCCCCGCAAGGTGCACGACCCAGCTTGCCCATAGCTCAGCTGCATCCCCACTGGCCACCCCATCTCCATGCTCAGACCTGCACAACGGGAGCAGCCGTGGTCTTAGCTGCACGCTGTGCCAACCACAAACCCTGCTGGAAAGAGTATGGCTTGTGGTGTTTCTGCACATGATAATTTAGCTTCCCACAGTGGATCTCTGCAGGAGAAGGCAGCAGAGAAACCCCCCCGAGCAGGAAAGCATCACCTCTCCCAACACAGCAGCAGCTGCTCTCCCAGCACTGGCACATGGTGCCTTGTGAGCATCCTACCATGGGCATAGAGCAGGCTCAGCAGCACCAGAGGAGGGTCTCACACTCATCCACCCACCTGCAAAAAGACCCAGTGGAAGAGCCAACCCATTCCATGCGGCATCTTCCAAATCCCTTGACATCCCTACTCAAAGTGGCACCTTGGCACCTTTCCTTTACCTAGCGCTCATATTGACCCTGCAAGAGGCAGGACAGCCAGGATGTGGCGCTTCTCCTCCGCTTGAATCGCTGCCTCATCTGACCCAGCGCGAACTTCCCCGCTGCGCAGTTTGCCAGCTGGGCTTTGCTCCTACCAGTTCGAGCTGGCCTGGGGGGACCCTTCCCTCCCTTCCAGCACTGTTTGGGGACATGCTCTTCCCTTCCCCATCAAAGTCTTCCCAAGACACCCCAGGGGGCCACAACCACTCCAAGGGGGGGTTTCCAGCCATCCCACTGGTCCAGCGCACATGGGGTGCGAGTGCCCCCCTGCCACCCCACTCTGCAGACCCCTTGTGTGCCGGCACAGCCAGGACACGGCACAGCTCCACCAGCAAAGCCACAACACCACGCCCAGGCTAGTGTGGGGTGGGTTAATATTTTCCCTGTTACCTCACACTGGCCTCTGGTCCTATGGAAAAAACAAACCATCTGGTAATAATATTTCTCTAATAGCTGTCTGGGTCTGTGGGAAAGCTTGGCTCGGCTTCTTAGGAAAGATGAGAGGGTTGAGCGAGAGGGGAGGTTGCGGATGCGGCGTGGGAGCTGGAGGAGAGGAGATAACGTTTTTGGGCTCCTTTTTCTCCCCCCCCCCCCCCCCCCCCCCCCGGGGGGCCCGCGGGGCGC